TTGCTCCCCACCTCCCTCCCATTTCCACCCCCCCCTTAGTTCTCGTCCCTGTGTCCTTCCTATTTGTTCCTCCAAATCCCTCCCCCTTTTTCCCCTTAACTTCCCTTCCTTCTCCCCTCTGGTCACTATCCCCTTGTTCTCTATTTCAGTGTCTTTGTTTTTGGGGTTTTTTTTTGTTTTTCTGCTTGCTTGTTTGTTTTGTTGTTTAGCTTCCTGTTAAAGGTGAGATCATATGGTATTTGTCCTTCAATTATGCTATTGCAGTTGTACCATTTTCCCCCTTTATTTCCTTACACCCTGCACACCCCATCATACCTGCATTTCAACCATTTAGTTCATGTCCATGGGTTGTACATATAAGTTCTTTGGCTTCTACATTTCCCATACTATTCTTAACCTCCCCCTGTCTATTTTCTACCTACCATCTATGCTACTTATTCTCTGTACTTTTCCCCCCTCTCTCCCTGTCCCACTCCCACACTGTTAACTTTCCGTGTGATCTCCATTTCTTTGATTCTGTTCCTGTTCTAGTTGTTTGCTTAGTTTGTTTTTGTTTTTGTTTTTGTTTTTAGGTTTGGTTGTTAATAGCTCTGAGTTTGCTGTCATTTCGCTGTTAAGATTTTTTATCTTCTTTTTCTTAGATAAGTCCCTTTAACATTTCATATAATAAGGGCTACATGGTGATGAACTCCTTCAACTTAACCTTATCTGGGAAGCACTTTATCTGCCCTTCCACTATAAATGATAGCTTTGCTGGGTAGAGTAATCTTGGATGTAGGTCCTTGCCATTCATGACTTGGAATACTTCACACAGCCTCTTCTTGCCTGCAAGGTTTCTTTTAAGAAAGCAACTAATAATCTAATGGGAACTCCTTTGTAGGTAACTATCCTCTTTTCTCTTGCTGCTTTTAAAATTCTCTCCTGAGAATTGAGCTTCATGGACTTTCTGGAAGTCCATTTCCTTTGCCAGTTTGGGGAAGTTTTCCTTTATTATTTGTTCCAATAAGTTTTCAATTTCTTGTTCTTCTTGTTCTCCTTCTAGTATCCCTATGACTCAGATATTGGAATGTTTAAAGATGTTCTAGAGGTTCCTAAGCCTCTCCTCATTTTTTGAATTCTTGTTTCTTCATTCTGTTCTGGTTGAATGGTTGTTTTTTTTTTTTTTGGTCCTTCTCCTAACTATTCATTTGAGTTTTATTTTTTTTCCCTTCAATGTTATCTCTCTGTATATTTTTCTTTATTTTACATAATGGACCTACATTGCTGCCTGGGTCTTTTTTATGCTGTTGAGGTACCCAGTGAGTTCCTGGAGCATCCTGATAACTAGTGTTTCGAAGTGTGAATCTGATTATTTATCTATCTCTTCATTACTTAGTTGTATTTTTTCTGGAGCTTTGATTTGTTCTTTCATTTGGGCCATGTTTTTTTTTTTTGTTTTTTTTTTTGCCATGCTTGTCACATCGTAAGAGGTGGAGCCTTAGGTGTTTGCCAGGGCGGGGCAACCCTTGTCCCTGCTTTGTGACACTGTATGTGGGGGAGGGGCCTGAGGGGGAACAAGGCCACTTGCTCAATTCTCTGCCAGTTTTCAGTCACTTCCCCTGCTACCAACAATCAAATTGGTCCCTTCTGGTGCTGATTCCTGAGTGAGTGGGCTTGTGTATATTTTAGAACACTGTGAGTCTCTCCAACAAACTATCCTGTGTGGCCGAGAGTTTCTCCCACTGCCCCTTCAATTCCCACAGGTGTTTTCAGTCAGAGGCTTGGAGGCTTTATTTCCATGTGATATAGGGCTGGGTTGCACCATCTGTCTTGCTCCCTAGTTGTTCCTCCCAGTTTCTGCAAGTGAATATGGGACTGTCCAGTCTTCAAGCCCCTGCCTCACCCAGGTCCTCCAGGTGCCACCTTGCCACAAGTCCTTTCCACTGGGCAGCTCATCTCTGCCCCTCCTACCAGTCTGGATGAATGTTTCTTCTTTAACTCCTTGGTTGCTGGACTTCATATAGTTCAATTTTCTGTCAGTTCTGGTTGTTTTTTTTTTTAATTTGTTCTTGGCTTTCTTATGGTTGTGCAAAGAGGTACAGTGTGTCTACCTACACCTCCATCAAGGGGACTTATTTTTATAGTCTAAGTCATACATCACTAAAACATTTCTAAAAAAATAGGAACAGTAGGATACTTAGGGTGTCCTCCTTGAGGGACTATTTTCAGCCTGAAAAGGTCATCAGCAGGATGACACCTTTTCAACCAGAAGGGCAGCACCAAGTATTATATGTCCTACGTTTTTTCACACACATACATACTAATAATGAAATGTAATTTATAAAGTAGCACAGCAAGAGATGAACAACAATAACTAAAAATAAAATAAAACATTTGTAATGGAATACTGTAATAAGTTATGTGAATGGCTTTGGGCCATTGTTAAGTAAAGTAAGGGTGACTTGAATACAAGCACTGTGATAGCACAACAGTCAATTTGATCACTGAGACTGCTAGTAAGTGACAAACTGGCAGGGAGTGTCTACAGCGTGGAGACACTGGACAAAGAGATGGTTCACGTCCTGGGCAGGATTGAGTGGGATGGCACAAGATCTAATCACACTAGTCAGAATGGAGCATGATTTAAAACTCAGGAATTGTTTATTTGTGGAATTTGCTATTTAATATCTTTGGGCCATGGTTGACCACAGGTAACTAACCTCACGAATAGTGAAACTGCAGAAAAGGGGGACCTTCACACTGAGGTTTTGTGGTCATCCCCTTATGGAGATCCTTGTTCATGTGAGTGTGTGGTTTGCTCCAGCCACTTTGGATGTCACAGAGACTGGGAGTAATTGGCTTTTTGAAAAATGCTGTACAAAACTATACATATTTAACATATGTAATTTTATGAATTTGGACATAAGTAAACACCTGTGATACCATCAGGGTAGATACCACTATCAAGGTAGTAGACATATACAACACCTCCTAAATTTGCCTTGTGTTCCTTGGTTGGTGGTAAAATGTTAAACATGAGATCTGCCCTCTCAACAAATTTTGCAGTGTATGATACCATAGTGTTAACCACAGTGCACAGCAGATCTCTAGAACTTGTCCAGAATCATGGATGAATCTGAGAAGCACAATATAGAGACTGACAGCTGAGATCCCACAGGGCTCAGGACAACTCCTCACCACACCATTTCATTTGATAATAAGGATATATGTTACACCATTTTATTTTATAATGGCTTGTTATGCGGCATTAGCTAGCCAATATAGCAATCCATGTGAACAGAACTGAGGGCAATTATAATAATCTGCTGCTTCTTATTTTTAAAAAACTTCATTTATTTATGTTTTAGAAAGAGGGAAAGGGAGAGAGAAAGGGAAACATCAATGTGGGGAAGAAACATCAATTGGTTGCCCCTCATGTGTGCCCTGACCAGGGACCAAACCTGTAACCCAGGCATGTGCCCTGACAGGGAATTGAACTAGCAACACAGCTTTGCAGCATGGTGCCCAACCACTGAGCCACATCAGTTGGGGTGTCTGCAGCTTCTTATTTTTGGCATATATTCTGATATTTTAACATCATTTCAGATGAGTTTGTTTTTTAAGTTAATTTCAGATAACTCAATTAAAAGTGACTACAGTGAGGTTCCTTTCTAGTTACCCTGCAGACCTTGCAAGGACATGCATGCTTGTAAATTAAAACTGGTGACACTGACTCTATGAATAGACAGTAATTTAAGTTTTCTTATGATTCATTTTTGATCATGGAAACTGAAGAAATTCTTTTGTTTATAATGAACAATATTGTTCATTTGTACCTCTTTGGTATTTATGATGAAATTAAGAAAAAGGTAAGATATTTTATTTAGGGCAATGGAAAAGCCATATTTGTAGTATCACTGAAATTGCTTTTTAATTTTAATTTGTTAAAGATTTCATTTATATATTTCTATAGGGAAGCGGAATGGAGGGAGAAAGAGTGGGAGAGAAATATTGATGGGTTGCCTCTTGCATGCCCCCTACTGGGGACCTGGCAAGCAACCCAGGCATGTGCCCTGACCAGAAATTGAACTGATAACCTTTCAGTTCACAGGCCAGCACTCAATCCACTGAGCCACACCAACCAGGGTATCATCAATGAAGGTTTTGAAACAGAAACAGTAAGATAATTCCATGAGAAAGCATGAGACCTGCTAATGACAATCCTTTACAATGACTTCCTTCACATCAACACGGGTATTCATACCTCACAAAGTAGAGGTACAGCTTGAAAAGAAAATGATGTATAGTAATATAAAGTATAATTTAGCATTTGCTTTTTTCAGAATCAAAGTGCTTGCTAAATCTGTTTATTCAAATTTCTGTTTCTATGTAGATGCCACTAGGAGACACATCTTTTACAAGCAGGTTTTTCCTGTGACTATAACAGGCAATGAGGACATACAGCTAAATAAGACAACAGCATTCAAACAAGAAATATAAAACCCAATGTGATATAAAACACACTAGTATATTAAAGTCCACATTAGCAAAAATAGCAGTTCAAGTGTTGATAACAAAAGGAATGACAGACACAAAAGTAAAAAACTATGGTCTCAAATTATCCTCATTTGAAAATTATAGAAATGATTTATTTGCCAAGCTTAGCATTTTCCACTAGAATGGTAAAACTTATGACTATTTTATTAGTAAAACTAAGGAATTATTACATGGGTGATATTTTTTATTCTAGAAGAAATTACTCTTAAGCAATCCAAGCAGTTTCATGAGATAAATGAAAATTTCTAAAAATGTCATATCTAAGATTGGGAATAAATTTGGAAAAACAGGAAGAAAACAATTGATATCAAGGAAAACTATCAGATATCAGAAAATAAATTTGAAGAAAGGAGTTAATTAAATTGAGAAATTGAATAAAATTTCCAATAAATAAATAAAAGAAGCAATTTGTGTTTCCACAACCTGATTAAAGAACTGCAAATCTGACTACAAGGCTTTGAGTCCTACAGTAATGGGGACTTCATCAGCCCCAGGGCAATTGTCCATTTCTTACCCACCATCCCAAAGAATCTTTTCAGAGCCCCCTTTATGTCTTTGTTCCTGAGGCTGTAGATGAAGGGGTTCAACATGGGTGTGACTACAGTGTACATCACTGAGGCTGCTGCACTTGACTGTGAGCTGTGGGTACCAGCAGAGCTGAGATACACACCTAGACTTGTACCATAAAATAAGGAAACAACCAAGAGGTGAGATGCACAGGTGGAAAATGCTTTATACTTCCCCTGAGCTGATGGGATTGCTCGTATAGAGGACACTATCTTAGAGTAAGAGTAAAGGATCCCAGCCAGGGGACCACCAGCCAGTAGCACGGTTACAAAATACATCACCATGTTGTTAAGAAAGGTGTCAAAACAGGCAAGTTGGACCACCTGATTGAGTTCACAGAAAAAGTGGGGGATTTCCAAAGCTGTACAGAAGGAAAGACTCAAAACCATTAAGCACTGCAGCAAAGAATTCAACACACTGATGATCCAGGACACCAGCACCAGCAGTCCACAGAGCCGGGGGTTCATGATCACCATGTACTGCAGTGGGTGACAGATGGCCACAAACCGATCGTAGGCCATCACAGTCAGGAGGAAGTCATCCAACCCCATAAAGAGTATGAAAAAATACATCTGGGTGATGCAGCCTGCATAGGTGATGGCTTTACTCTGTGTCTGGATGTTCAGCAGCATCTTTGGGATGGTGGTGGAGATGAAACCTATATCTACCAAGGACAGGTTGGAGAGGAAGAAGTACATGGGTGTGTGGAGGTGGGAATCTGAGCTGACGGCCAGGATGATAAGCAGGTTTCCCAATACAGTGATCAGGTACATGGACAGGAACCCCCCCAGTATGAGGGGCTGCAGTTCTGGTTCCTCTGATAATCCCAGGAGAAGAAATTCTGACTCTCTTGTAAGGTTCCCTGTTTCCATGAGGTGGAGCTCACTTTCAAGAAGAAGACAGAGAACACGAGTACTTTTCATACACACTTGCATTATTCACACAGCTCTAATGCTACAGTTTATGTTTTGCTCTCAAGAAATTAATTTCGTATTTTGTGACAGATCTGTTGTACTCTAGGAGTTTTCTGTGTCATCCCAGAGTAGGAATTTTTGTTCCAATCTGTTTTTCTCCTAAGGTGTCTGGTATCTTAGTTTTAATTAGAAATATTTCATGTATTTCAGGAATACAAATTGAGTGCTGACCATGCTTTTGGCACTTTCTGGGCTGTGAATGGAGGTGCTGAAGAACACAGGGCCCTACACATCAATACTGGGGAAAGAATATGGAAGCAAATAACAGAAATAAATTTAACATTACAGATGATAACAGATCCAATGGAGAAAGTGAAAGCAGGTCTAAAGGAGAAAGTTACTAGGCTGTTGTATTTTTCATGAGTTTTTAGGCAAGGCCTGCCAGCAAGGTGACATTTGAGCCCAGAACTCAAGGGAGGAAGAAAGGGAGATCAAGCTTATGTGGGCAAGTGTGTGCGCAGCAGAGGGAATGGCCAGTACCAAGGCCCTAGGAAGAAGCTGCAGGGGTTTAGTGATTTATTCAAAGTTGATATATGAGTATGTGATGGACCATGGTTATAATTTTTTCAGGTTACTTCTAGTCAGTGGGTCTCAATCAGAAATAATTTTGCCCCTACAGTATCTGGCAATGCCTGGAGGGATACTGCTAAACATCTACAATTCACAAGAAAGCGCCTCCCCCCCTGATCCTATCCCCCCCAATTATTTTCCAGCCTTCAAAGCCAACAGTGAGAAGGTGAGAAAACCTGTTCTATAGAGGCACTTCAATCAACTTTACTATGCCTATGAACCAACAAGGATCCTACCAGAAATGCAGAATCTGATTGAGCAGGTCCTATTGTGCTCAGAGACTCTGCCTTTCTGTCAACCTCCCAGGTAGTGTTGATGCTGCAGGTCCTGGTCTGTGGACTGCACTCTGTGCAGCACGGCTGTGGTTCTGTGCTAGGGTCAAGTATAGTGTGTTAGGTCTCATGACCCAAGTAGTGTTTTTACCTGTAGTTTTGAAGGAGTAGTGTGTTCACTTCCTCCAGAGACTGTAAATTCTGAATCCTTGAGATAAAATTTCAAAGCACTTCTGAAAACAATTTTGTAGTGAGTAGAATAAAGGCCTCCAAAAATGTTTTATAGCAAGGGGGCATGAGGTCAGCAGATGGAACAGGGCTGCTAATCATCTAACTTAAAAAAAAAGATTTTATTTATTTAGTTTTAGAGAAGAAACGAGGGAGAAAGAGAGGAAGAACAACATCAGTGTATGGTTTCCTTTTCTGTGCCTCCTACTGAGGATCAGATTGCAACCCGGGCTTGTGCCCTGACTGGGAATTGAATGAGCAACCCCTTGCCTCACAGGCTGGCACTCAATCCACTGAGCCATACCAGCCAGGGATAATCAGCTGAATTTAAGTTAGAAGAGGATCAGGATCATCCAGGGGCACTAGGGTCAGCACAGTGCTCCCCTACATGCAAAGAGGGAGGCCAGGAGAAAACTCGACACTGATGGCTTCCATGAAAAAAGAAGGGCCCAGAGCCAAGGAATGCAGGTGGTCAGAATACAAAGTGGAGATAAGGAGAAAACAGATTCTCCTCAGAGTCTCTAGGAGGAATTCAGTCCTGCAGGCCCCTTGAGATTAGCCAGCGAGCCATTCCAGGCTTCTGGTATCTGGACTTGTTATAGCACATAATTGTTTCTTTTAAACAGCTACTGTGGGCATATTTTACAGCAGCAATAGAATCGAATGATAAACTCTCCTGATGGAACTGAGTTTCAGCTTCTCGATTTATTCATCAGTTTGCTTAGGTAAGGGCATTTTAAGTTGAAAATCCACATGAAATAGAAAAGATATTTTAAGTTGATTTTCATATTAGCCACCCAAGAGCTGGTGCAAGGAAGTCCTCATTGCATAAATGTAAACATGGAGAACTATGATGGTTTTGTGTTAGGAAGATTTAAAGTACAAAGTATGACCTTAAATAATCCATCACTTAATTGAGAAACTAAAAATATGTTTCTCAGCACCATGTGTTCCTTGCCTAGAAGTTGGTCAGTCCTCAATTTATATTCCTCAAGTGCATGACAGAATTTCTCAATTATAAAATAGAATAATGTCCACTTGGGGAAAAGTTTGAGTGTGGGATAGAAATTCTTATTAACTACTCCAACAGAGAAAGTAACTGAGTAACAAACTCTAAAATATATGCAGCCTCACCAGATATGAAATCATTGAAATGAAATAATTTAGTGTTCCTTTTTAGACTTATTAAATATTTCTTATGTGAATTTGCAGCATGAGAGAAGATACTTACAATATCTGTCTCACTAACTTCTGCAGCCAGGTGCCGTCTACCTCTACTGGATGAATCTTTTCAATGAACACACAACATGCTCAAATGCACTGTGTCCTAGATATTTATTACAAATACTCACTTCACTGCACTGCTCTCTACCCCAATACTTTATTCCTTCTCGCTGAATAAGACCACTCCTCAGGAATATTTTTATTTTACTGCAACAATTTTGTACATCTCACTCATTCAAAAGTGTCTTCCAACTAGACTTCCATTCACATCACTTAACTATCAAACACAGTCCCTCTGTTGCAGACTCAAACAGCATTGTTAATGTATTCAGTAAATTATTATAAATCAATTACTTGACCAAGAATACAGAAATGGTGATCTCTGGTCTTGGGGCTCAGCTGATTAGGTTTGCAGTGCCTTAGGTAAAAGTTCTCAGGTTTCAGCCTCTCTGACACTTTCCTGATGTACCTACCAGGCTCTCAGACCACTCTGGTTGGGTTTCCTGAAAGAAAGGTCTCTGCGTGCCAGTCAGAATTGCTCCCTGGATGGTGTATGGTGGACACTGAAGTTTCATCTCACTGAAGGCAGCAGGAATTGCAGTGACAACCATGTCCTGTACACCAATGTTGCAAAAGCTTAGGTACTGCACAGGGGAGAGATTTGCAGCTCTCTCTATATCTGCATGTCAGGCACATTTCCCTTGTGTTATTCTGTCCTCTGGGCATTGGTTTCCCTCGGGGCCTCAGGAATAAATAAAAAGAAATTTTTTCCTAATGATTCTTTGATCCCAAGAAACCAGGTTGGAAGTCAATTAAATTTAGTTTCTATGACTCTTTGTCTTGGATCTCACCTGCTTCCCAGAGGTTGAACTCCTATTACCTTATCCCAACCTTGACTTAGGCTTTCCTCCAATGTCTGAAACTAAGGAACCCATCAGAATCAGGTCCTGTTGACCTTTATAGCACTGATTTGTGGTGGGGACACAGCCCTGATGTCTGCAGAGCATTGCTATCCCCCTTCAATGACCGGAGAAACTGGGTTCCTTTGACATGCAGTCCTGACCACCACACTCTTTTCCACACTCTGACACATTTGTCAAAATAATTAGGGATTTTGTACATACTTCATAAATTAAGAGCTGTAATTAAGTACATATTATAAAGTATATGTAATTGTAAGAGATATGTTTCACTAGTTTAATGCCATATTAACTGAACTTAGTAACTTACAGACTGATTTAATTTTTTTGAAAAGTCCATTCTGTAAGGTATTATTACTACTATGAACTTCATTCCCATTTTCAGAAATAGGCCTTTAAGGGGTTTATAGTTTGCTCAAAGTTATGAACTAACTGAGAGATGAGCCTTGTCAGGTTGCTTCAAGTTTTCAAACTCTGGGTCACTGGTTTGATTTAGCCCCTAGAGATATTTGTCAATGTATGGAGGGAGGCTACTCAGCACCTACAATATCCAAAAGAAATCATTATCCCAGACCTATTGTCAACATGACAAGGTGACAAAGCCTAGTCTAGATCACCACTCCTCCAACTTTAAGGCGCATATAAGTCCCTCAGGCTTATAATTCAAATGCAGGTCATGGTGGGCCCAGAGGTCCTTTGAATCAAATGAGTTCCCAGACAGTGTCAGTGCTGCAGGTGCTTGTCTGCAGACCATACTTGGTAGTAAGCTTGAACCTGTGTTAGAGTCGGGTATAAGTAGTTTTAGGTCTTCAGAACCAAAAAATCATTTTGCATGTAATTTTGAATGTATAGTGCATATTCACTCATTCTGAAGCTGTTATAAATTCATTGTTTAATTATTTATATAAGGATTCATGAACCACATCATGTAATATACTTCTGAATAATACCTCATTTGATTCATTTAAATAAGGACCCTTGTGTAACATCATGGAATATATTATTAAAAAACATTTTATATAGTAGGCAGAAGGGCCTCCAAAGACATCCACATCATGATCCTCAGAAACTTGTAATATGTAACTTTTGATTGCAAGGGAGCATTAAAGTAGCACATGGAATAGTTTTGCTAAGTGACTAATTTTAACAAAAATGTGAAGGTTGGTGTGCTTGAAGTTGTTCCAGGGGCTCCTTGGTCTATCCAAGGAGAATCATTTTTTTAGATTCTTTTTTCTCCTTGGTGTTCTATTCGAGTGTTTTTTCTTCCTTATATTTCAACTCACTGGTTTGATTCTCAACTTCACCAACACTAATGTTGATTTCCTGTCAATCATCCTTAATTTTAGTTAGCGATTCTTCATTTCTGACTGCATCTTTTTTTTATGCTGTTGAGGTCCTAAGTTGATTGAGCATTCTTATACACAGTGTCTTCAACTCTGCATCTAGTAGATTGTTTATATCCACTTTGTTGAGTTCTTTTTCTACAGTTTTGTTCTGTTCTTTCATCTGGGCCATGTTTTTTTGCTTTGTACCAAGGAACTCAAGGCACTTATTTCACAGATATAAAACAAACATTTCAAAAATTTATACAAAACCATAAATGACCCCGAACAACTGCAGCAATTTTGAGAAAGAAGAAAAAAGGGGGAGGGATTACAATACCTGACATCAAAATATTACAAGGCCATGGTAATCAGAACAGTCTGGTACTGGCATAAGAAGAGACACATAGGTCAATGGAACAGTATAGAGACCTAAGAAAGAAATCAATGTCTCTATGGTCAATTAATACTTGACAAAGGGGGCAGAAGCATAAAATGGAGTAAAAATTGCTGATGTTTTCTTTAGCTGTGCAGAAGCTTTTTAATTTGATATGGTCCCATTTGTTTATTCTTTCCTCTTATTTCTTGCTCTGAGGAAATATCGGTGAAAATATAGCTGCATGGAATATCTCAAATTTTCCTCCCTATATTCTCCTCTAGGACTGTTATGGTGTCACAACTTTTTTTAAAAAGATTTTATCATTAGTATTTTTTTAGAGACAGGAAGGACAGGAGAAAGAGAGGGGGAGAAACATCAATGTGTGGTTGCCTTTCACACATCCCCACTGGGGACCTGTCCTACAGCACAGGCATGTGCTCTGACTGGGAATCAAACCAGCAATCCCTTGGTTCCCAGCCCAATGTTCAATCCACTGAGCCACATCAGCCAGTGCTGTGGCGTTACAACTTATATTTAAGGTGGCTTTTTTTTAGTTTATTTTTGTGTATGGTGTTAGTTGGTGGTCGCATTTCATTTGTTTGCATGTAGCTGTGCAGATCTCCCAACACCATTTGTTGAAGAAACTATTTTTACTCCATTTTATGATCTTGCCACCTTTGTTGAATGTTAATTGACCATAGAGACTTGGGTTTCTTTCTGGGCTCTCTATTCTGTTTCATTGATGTATGGGTCTGTTCTTATGCCAGTACCAGACTGTTTTGATTATAGTGGACTTATAATATAATTTGATGTCAGGTATGGTGATTCCTCCTACTTTACTTTCTTTCCCAAAAGGGCCATTTATGTTATTATATAAATTTTTGTGATATTTGTTCTATATTTGTGAAATATGTTATTGGTATTTTAATAGGGATTGCATTGAATCTGTAAATTCCTTTGGGTAGTATGGACATTTTGATAATGTTAATTCTTCTGATCCATGAGCATGGTACATACTTCCATTTGTTTATGTCTTTCTTAATTTCTTCCTCCAGTGTTGTGTAGTTTTCTGAATACAGGTCTCTTACCTACTTGGTTAAGTTTATTCTGAGGTACTTTGATGTGGACACTGGCCCAGAGTGTTGGCGGCATTATGGATGAGATATGGGACAAATTCACACAGACCACCAAGTCCTGTGGAGGAAAAGGGATGGCACAGCTACTCTCTCAAGTGGAGAGTGCACCGACCCTTGCCCAGACAGTCTTTTATTGGGCTCAGTTTGCACAGGAATAAAGGAAAAGTTCATTAATAATTGTCAGACAGTAAGGATCAAACAATAGATAGCATACAAAGAACTAAGAGAGCCTTTCTGAGTCAGGGTCTGTTATCTAAAGGGCTAAAAACTTTGGGAAACAAGCTCATTTCCTGATTAGACTCTTATCATTTAACTGAGAGTACTGTTTAAAAAGCAGTTTTCACAGGAGTTTATGTATTCTTTCTTAGGCCTGATCACTGGGGGAACCCACCTTTTCCAGCACAGGGCTGCACTTCCCTCTTTATTGTTTCAGGCTTAACTCAGGCAGTGAAAGTAGGCAGCCAAGAGAGTAGCAGACTTCTTGCAGACAGAATGAGCACTCAGGCTATGCCAAAGCCAAGGGGTAAGGGTCCATCACTCCCTTTTGCTATAGCCCCCCAAGTCCTTCCCTGCCCCCCCCATTATTGTGCCTATTTTAGGTGGTTCCCTGCTTTGGGAATCTTACAAATTATTGGCTAACAGGTCAAGAACTGGAGGCCAGTTATGAATGAAGTAAAAGAAGCAGAAGTTGCACTCCTGCCAGGGAGATAAGCTTTGTTTCCTTAGTGGCTTATGGTCTGAAGGTTGCTCACTCAGCCTTAGCCATGGCAGGGTTACAGCTTCTGAAACCAGGCAGGGCAGTTCCCAACAACACTGTTCTTCCTGTTGGTATAGCAAATGAAATTTTTTCCTGACTTTTGTTTCTGATTATTTCATTTTTGGTGTATAAAATGCCTTTGACTTCTGAATATTGACTCTGTATCCTGCTATTTTGCCAAATTCACTTTTTAGGTCAAACAGTACTTTGGTGGAGTCTATAGGCTTTTTTGTGTATACTATCATGTCATCTGCAAACAATAACACTTTTACTTCCTCTTTCCTATTTGGATGCCCTTCATATCTTTTTCTTGTCTGATGACTGTGACTAGGACTTCCAATACTATGAATAAAAGTAGTGAAAGCAGACATTCTTGTCTTGTTCCTGATATTAGTGGGAAGTTTTTAGTTTTTGCTAATTGAGTATGATGTTGACTGTAGGTTTCTTGTATATAGCCTTTCTTATGTTGAGGTATGCTCTCTCTAGTCTCACTTCAGTGAGTGTTTTTAATCATAAATGTGTGCTGTACCTTATCAAATGCTTTTGCTGGATGTATTGATATGATCATGTGATTTTTGTCTTTTCTTTTGTTTATGTGATGTATTATGTGTATTGATTTGTGAATATTATACCATCCTTGCACCCCTGGCATGAATCCCACTTGATCATCCCAAGTGGGGGGGGGGGCTTGTTTGTTTGGGATGAGAGGTTCTGTGTATATTAGTTATGTCCATTTGACCTAATGCATCATTCAGTGCCACAATAACCTTGTTGATATTTTGTTTGGAAGATCTATCCATTGTTGACAGGGGAGTGTTAAAATTCCCTACTCTGATTGTGTTTCTCTCTATATCTTTTTTGAAGTTCTTCAAGATTTTCCTTATAAATTTGGGTACTTTTATATTGGATGCATATATGTTTATAATGTTTATGTCTTCTTGGTGGATTCCTCCTTTGAGTATTATGAAGTGTCCTTCTGTGTCTCTTTTTATGACCTTTGTTTTGAAATCTATTTTGTCTGATATAAGTATTGCCACTCTTGCTTTTTTTC